TATGTTATTTACGGAGGTTGTTGTGATGTCAGCTTTTGGGATTGTCTCTGTGAATTGCATTTAAATGCTTGCGTATGTTACGAAGCCTGATATTGGTCATCTTAGATCTTGACATAGCGATTTTGGGAGGAATTATCAGAAATGATGATTAGGAATATCGTTAGATAAAATGCGCGTTAATTATCACTTTTAAGAGGTTACGGGGAGATATCTGCCTACTACCTACTTGTCGTTGGGTGATAGTAGTGTTTTATAGTTCGCCCTTTTGACCGCTCGAAAGGAGTTGAAAGTCGTGTATGAAATTATTGGACTCGGATTCAAAAGTTCAAATTGACACAACACGAGATCAATTTAGACTAACTTGTTTCCTCTAAGGAATAGGTTGTCTATTGTTCATGTGGAAGGCAAGTCGAAGGGGAAGAAGCTTTTCTAACGTGTACCGACAGCCTCAACTGCGTCGAGTATTTCAGTCGTTCGAGAGGGCTGCAGCATTAGGGGCCGACTCAACTGAGCCTTCATCCGTTCTTGGGTGTGAACCGGCCAACGGCGGTTGGGAGGATGGTGAGATTGAACACTTCGTTGACCAAAATGCTGCGCAGATCAGTGGGATACGCGAAGTGCTATGGGGAAATTGTAATTGACTTCTGATGACAGCGGACGAGCAAAGAAAATTTATTGCCCGGAATCCCGTCTAATCGGAGGGTTGTTGTAACGGGCGCCAGGAAGGAAATGAAAAATTAGCGAGAATAGTCTTTTAATCGTCGAGTCGATTGTGTAGAGCATGGGATACGAACAAGACTGTTTCCCGAATACTGATGAGGTGTCTCGCTCGGTGATCAAAAACACGATGGTTTCCGAAATCCAACTGCGACATTCCGCGGACGACGTTTCGGATACACTGATGTTAGAAAAGGGTTTATGATTGAGCTATCAGCATGCTCCTTAGTATAGTACGACCCGAAACGTTATGCAAGACGCGTAGTACAAACCAACTTCCTGTCCAATCCTGAGACTCCACAGAAGATTTCTGGAACCACGTCCACGATGACAGTGTGGATGTATTGACGAACAGTTTAGATTGGACTGTGAGGCTCATCACTGCCGTTGCGATGTCACTGCAACTCGAACGACACTGAACGCAACACATACATTCCAGAGACAGTAGCAGTTATATTTTATATGAACGTTAGTGAGTCAGCAACCTACAATGTGCATCACTATTGGGTCGCGGGTTCGATCCCCAGCGAGGATACTTTTCAATAACCATAGGAACATCTCAAACAGCCGTTTTGGCAAGGTGGTTGACACTCAGTGCGTTGTCGTTTGCTGCCGCAGCCGCCTTCCAACGATCGTCTCCTCTTGAGCTCCTTCCTCGCCATCCAATCAGTCAATCGTCGTTGTCGTTCGTAGTCGTCCCATGCCCTCTGCTCTGCATCTCGAAACGTGTCGTGACCGAACAATATCGTAGGGAAAGAGAGTTTACAAGCGGCAAACATGGAAATGGGACTCGAGAGAAAATGCATTATCAAACTGAACGCCAACGCTATGCCAATAACTTAAGTAAAAATATACATTATTTCAAAGCAGTACTAGTGTACACACATACTGTCACCTATCAGTCACAGCCCGCACGGGCCGCACCGATAAAGGAGGACTCAAGAACCGCAACTCCGCCACATCATCGTCGTCATCTTCGTCTTCTAGCATCGACAACGACCCTCGATGTGCAGCACCGGATGGTGGCGTCGGTACCATGGCGTTTGCGCTGACGGCTCGTGCTCGACTTGCTAGCCACAGCCTCCGAGGGGTTACGCAATATTCAGTGAAACTTCGCATAGCCAACGCAAACTTCTCGGGCTGCTCTTCCTCTACCTAACAAAAGTCACCATCCCACCAGTCAATTTTCAATATCTACTGTGACGATTCACAAATCGCCACTTACATGAATGTCACTAAATTGCACGAGTTTTGTATATTGCTGGGCGTGAACTGAAAATTCGACCGCTTGTGTGAATTTCGACTTAACATCGCCTCGATAGTGCTAAGATCCCTCCCCATGATTACCAGATGCCCACATCTCGGTACGACCTCCCATCGCGCATCGCACTTCTTCGACAGAAGGTGAGTGAAGAAGCGCTGATACTCCCTCTTCGGTACAACCTTGTCATGATCACCCGTCAGCAACAATATCGGACACTTGGGTAGGTCGACTGGTACTTTCCAACGGACATTAGTACGCTGCTTATTCATCTCCACAATAGCCGCGTCCCAGCCCTCCAACCGGGTGGGCACCCTATAGTCTTCTTGCAGCCACTGTGGGATCTTACTACTTCTATACCAGGACTTCCTCATCATGAAGTCAGCCACTTCTGACCGTAACATCGACAGCGACAACGCTCTACTCACATTACTAGTCAGTATCGATCGTATGACCCCAGGCAAGCCCATACCGGTTGTAACCGTCGGGGAGATCAATACCACGCCACTGACACTTTCATTGCATGCTGCTGACTCCAGAGCAAGCAAAGCGCCGGCGCCAACGCCAACCAATATTTGAGGTAAAGTACCGGCCGAAAAACGACGAAAGAGATCTATGGTCTCACGAGCGAACGATATGGAATAAGGCGGTAACAACACCGGCCGACCTCCTTCACTCATTATGTAAACAGGCGATGCTGGGTCCTTGGGCCGCTCTGTGAAGCCATGCGCTGGTCGATCAAAACACGTCACGTTGGCGTTGCATTCATTCACGAGTAAAGGCACCGATCGCTTCCACGTAAAACAACCTCCACCAAACTGATGAATCAGCAGTAAATTGACGACCGGCGTGGTAGATCGAACATTCTGGTAGTAGCAGAGAATGCCTCCAGCAGTGTCGCTATATGGCCACTCCATGTCGCTGTAATCAGTGCCAGTAGCTGTGCACAGATAATGAGCGTCCGGGCCGGTGGCGAACACACGACGAGACGAGTCGAAGGATGCAGAGGAAACCTTTGAGCCATGCTCCAAGTCACCCTCGCTGTCAACACTGCTGGTCACAGTGATCTCTTTGGGCTGGTCGGGACCGATCAGAGGCGCTTCTAAATCGACATTTTGGTGATGGTGATGATGACGAGGACGACGACGACGGCTCGCGAATGGGAAGCGAGCGGTCAACCGGAAGTTGGCGTTGAAACGACACAATTTTCGCTGACGAATACGATCAGAGTGCTTCAGGAAGAAGAAGCCCTCAAGCAAGCAAAGGGCGACAATAGTCAGCGTTCGACCGGGCATATTCCCAGTAGTGATGTACAACCACAACGAGTAAACGATGGAGGCGACTACGACTACCGAAACGACTATGTCCGGCACCATAGAAGTCTTACGACGATACTGAAATGCAATGTTAATAACGAGAAAACGAGCAATGAATATGACGAGGTAAATGTACAGGGATAAAAGATCATTATGGTAGTGGTTAACAAAGTCGCCCACAGAGGAGACACAAACGAACAAATCAAGCAAAGTGATAATACGGGGAACACGGGACTTCAGCAAGAACAGCAAACAGTTGATGGCGAACTTCAAGGCAAAAAGCCACTCGAGTGCCTTTGAGGACGTCGATGCTGATGCTGATGATGCAGTTCCTGTTGATGCCCCCGCCATCTTCAAGATATTGAAGATGTCCAAAGTTGATTGGCACTTTTCGTAGTTAGCGCGCGCCAATTTGATCGATTTTGAAGAATGTTTTGGAGACGCTTCTTTGAAGCGTAGAAGTGGCGACACTGGCCGTTTGGTTGCCAGAGCCACATTTTGTAAGTGGACGTTTGATTATGATCCGATTTGATTCTCGCATGGAGCTTCCTGATTAGGAAGCGTACGTTAGTTGCCCTTCCTCGCATTATGACTGATCCAACAACAACTGCCGTGAGATAACATCCTCCTTCATGAGTCCAGTAGTGGTTCGCTCCGCTCCGCTGGTGCGTCGTCAGTTCTCCTCGGATGATGACAGTTTTCTCATCATACCATCAAACTCGGCCAACAAATAGCTAGTATACTGCTGTACTAGTCAATTGGAGAGTGAAGAAGCTGAAATAACGTTCATTGATGACGATCTAATAACTCTGGTGTTATAACTCAATGAAACCACAATCCTTATTCATCGGATCGGGTTTCTTAGGAAAAGCTACGTACTCACATGAATATCGATCACGCTCTGTACATACGTAGTGCCAGGCTGCTTGTTATCCTGAGCACTCCTCAATCATCTTCCACAGGACTGCGATACTGCGTTAACCTCGTTTAACTAAGAGCTGGCCGAAGGTGCATAGCTCGTCCACTACTACGGTACTCGATGCAGAAAGAAACACTTGAGGTGCCCAGTCGGAGCTACTTGGTGAAGACGAGTATAGACTGTTTGAAAGTGCTTAGAGTTATTACTGTCAGCACTGGAAATATATGGAGTATTTCTAGTTTCAATGGTGGTGCTAATATTGATGATCATACGTAGTCCCGGTGTATCGTGAGCGGAGGTCAGGCAAAGCTTAGGGTGCTCGAGACACCGCATATGTTTGTGCGGAGGTAGCCTGATGTGTTCCCGCGCAATCGGACCGATTATCGGAGCTCTTCTCTTCGTGCGGCAGCTACAAAACTGCCGTTTTCCAAACCAATCCACTGGCAGAACACACAGTATATCAATACTTCGTAAGAAAAGAGTGCGCAGTAGTGATCGGAGAGCCTCCTGTCAGGAGGCTCCTGGACCTTGGAGCCAGAGTGGTTACCGTGAACACGTACACGTATGCGTATACATGTATCAACACACGTCCACAGCGTGACGCTAAAATCTATAATCAAGAGATGCTGGAGTACTCGTTGTATGAAAAGGATGCAGAAACTCAAGATAGGTCAAAGTGCCAAAGGGAGAGTCAATTACCACAAAGCCTCCCCGTTTCGTTCCCATCGAACAACCGCACCTTACCACTATCACAGAAGTCGTAACGGCCTGAGCTGCGAGGAATAGATGTAGCGAACTTGTCAGAACGTTGATCTTCCGCTTCTCCGGACTCAATCACTCGTCCACAAGTATCAGGTCTCAACAGTCCTCTAGTGTTTTTGTTGTGATCCTCTGATGAGGGTCAGCCCAGAACCCGGAACACAAATTCGATGGCTTTAATCCGTTAGGTGCAAGAACGAACTAAGACTGAGAGATGATCCCATACTCACAAGACTCTGAATCAAAATGTTCAATATCACCATCGTCAAAAGCTACCACAACGATATTGGCCGAGCGAGATTTGGTCATGGTCCCAGCGAACCATTGACGTCCCTTAGCCAACACAAAATAAGTAACAGATATACAAGATCCGATCATGGGCCTGTCCGTCCCATCACTCCATGCGACAGTGGGGATAACGGACTCACCCGCTTCGCCCGAGTCCTAGTGGCAACACTAGACGTAAGGAAAAGTACGTACTGACGATAGGAAGCAATAAACGGGCTCAAGTAGATCGAGCAAAGACCAGGAATAGAGAGGATGGCTAATACTACACGTAGGTCATCTGTTTGATCTTAATTGGGTAACATAAAAACCCCAACTGAGATCTTGAGACACATGGCTACGGGTTTATACGAAACATGTCATGCAAATCATAGCAAAACTTTGACTTCTGCATCATCAACTCGGATAGTTTTACAGCCAGCCGTTTCGGAGCCGTCCCATAAGATATCCAGGGCGCCAGACCTGCGCACGCCACAGACTCGGCCTGAGGACCAGTAACGACGGACGCCAGCAGATATCCAAGGGGCAACAGAGATACGCATTCCGACACGAGAGGGAAGTGGCTCATTTATGAGACAATCTCCGGTCTCATCGATCATAAGGTCAAGAAGATGCACATGCGTTCTACTGGCCATAGTCCAGCTGATGCACATGCGTGCACGATAGAAATAGGAGACAGCGCGCTAGCATGGCATCAGCATTGTCCGCCCCGGTAGAATCGCACAGCAGAGCATCGTTTCTCGAAGTTGAATAATCTTCATACTGAATCTACGGGAGATGACACTATGGGCAAAGCCCGAAAAGGTACGAGCATCAATAATCACTTCTGTGTAAGATTGATAGTCTGATTAGAACTGTGAAATCATCCACTCCCTTGACCACTCCCTGATGGATGCGTGCATGGCAGCGTTCTTCAAACATGAAGTAAAGTAGAACGCTCGTCGCAGTTATGAGCCTGCACCTCGAGTACTGCGTCATTTACCCGCAGTATGGTGAAGCGAAAAGTCGTGTCGTACAATCATTGTACTACAATGTCACAGTCTATGTGGTGACGTCACATTCAAGAATTCCTCGTTCAAATTGAACGGGGACAATTTAGATACCAGTGGTAGCTAAGTCGTGGTGGCCAGTTGTAGCTTACGATCGCGATGGAACCGCATTAGTTGTCGATTTCAATGAAATCGCGACACCGTTCCCGAGATTCGAAATTCATATTCCAATTCCAATGGAATTAATTTGATCGCGGTAATGAAGTATAAAGACTTCACATTTCCGTTTCATTCTAAGAATGATTCACAGTGCAGTACTGTGATTACTAAGGACTCCCCAGTGACGTGCTTCGTTCCACGGTGGAACTTCCCACCTACGATTTCGCCATATAGTCGGACTACACAAGGGTATAAACAATCATTCGCTGAAAGATAACCTCATGGTGCGGCATATACTTTCGCTGCAGTATCACGGTAGGACATCCATCATCAC